ATTATAATAGCTAGCATTTTACTATAGGGTATATTTCCTTACTCTACATCGAGTTCTATGCCTTTTACATTACAATATTATATTGAACTGATATCTCTGTCTTTTATACTTTCGTCCACGTTAAAGAGCAGCAGTAATTCAATAATTATTAACGAAGCGTTTTATTTAATTCGACTGTTTTGAAATGTCACGGAGTGCAGTCATTAGCATTATCTAATTAATGACCACGTCCATTCTTGAAACGGGAGTTGTTGTTTTTTTAACTTTCTAACTTTTAACATAAACTGGTCGTTTCTTTTTGTTGTTGTTTTTAAAAAAATATTTTTCTAATCAGTGTGCACCCGGTTTACAAAACTCTTTGTGTATAGTATCTAGTTCTGAAAACATTTGACATAAAGAAATATGAGTTTCACAACATGTCGATATTTTTCGATTGTATTTCTATCAATATCTTATTAACGTTTCTAAATAATAATTCGATTTTGGTACAGTGGATAAAAGATTAAAAGTTTGGTTTCTGACCTCTTTGTCTCTGTGCGTCAAAACGACCAAAAATGTCAGATAGAACTTTGTAATTTTAAGGTAGCGGCGGTACCCCCCCCCCCTCAAAAAAACAAAAAACAAAAAAAACAAACAATAGAAATGTGTTATTTAAAAACTAGCTACTTATCAGACATTAAGACCCAAAGGGATCACATTTAAAATATCATCGTTGTGTGTACTTGGGTAGATAACATTTTAAAAAGGCAAAAAATAATTAAGATCCATAAAACAAGAAAGCATTAATTGTTTTTAAGAGAATACAAAAAATACCCTACATAGTAGTAAAACTATTTCCTGCGTATAGTCTTAAATGTATATCGTTTACCCTTTCGGACATATAGGTTTCTATCTGCTTCCTCTCCGTCTCGTTGAAGGCTCGTCGTACAAACGGGAGTTGTTTGTACATGTCTTGTACATCGAACAGTTTCTGAAACTCTTCTGTAAGGGAAAAACAGAAAAAAGAGACGTAAGAATTATGGATGGCTCGGATGACGTTAGAAACGTTTCTGAAGCTCTTCTATGAGGAAAAATCAGAAAAAAGAATTGAAAAAGTATGGATATTGTTGGGAAAGTTTCTGCAACTCTTCTGTTAGGGAAAAACAGGAAAGAGAAATGTGACAAGTATAGATGGCGTTAGAAAAGATTATGAAATTCATTATAGAGAAAATTCAGAAAAGAGAACTGAAAGAGGTATGGATGATGTAAAAAAAAGTTTCTGAAAGTTCTTTCACGTAAGAAAAAAAAACAACTCCACGAACATTGAGTCGTAAGAATTAGGAAGGACGTCATAAGATTTTCTTATACTCTTCTGTAAGGAAAAACGCAACAGAGAGACCGCAGAATTAAGAAGAGCTGTTAGTTTTTGTAAATGTATTATGGCATATGCAACACAATTACGTCATATAAGTGCCAAAAAGTAGAGATGTTACAATGGAATAAGAAACATAAAAAGAAGAAGGAGAGATAAGGACTACAGATGTTTGATATTAAGGAAGGGACAGACCATATCTGCCAGAGCACCTGCCAACCACCTGCAATTATGAATGATGGTACATATTTATTATAGTTATTTATATTCTTCTGTTATGTAGGGAAAAACACGAAGTTGAAGCGTGAGACGTATAGATGACGCCATGGGGACAGCTAAAAGTGATGACGCGACAAGGTAAACTGGGTTCGGATGTAAAATGTTTGGCTTTTATTTTCTTTATAATTGATAAATTCCAACTAGCGATTTGAAAGAGACATCTGATCTGATAGGTATCATTGTCCGATTTATTGTTCTCTTCAAATTGCATTTTTATGAAGTGAGTGGTTGGCGGATGCTCTGGTGTGGTTTGCTTCTTCTTTCCTATCAAACATCTATTGTCCTTCTCTCCCCTTCTTCTTTTATATGTTTGTTACTCTCTTGTAACACCTCTAATCTTCTGGCGCTCATATGAAATTATGCAGTTGCGAGTGTCGTAAAACCTCAGCCAAAACTAAAACTTTAAAAAAAATGAAAGTAGCATAACACTATATTTATACTATAATTCAAATTCTAAGTCGTATATCTACGTGAACGTATTTTGCCAATACAGCCACAGAAAAAATCCCATTGAGACAATAAGGTATCATCATAATAATATCCTATCTCACATTTTTTTGTCCTGTTTTCCCCTCCACGAAGCGAGGAAGATGAGATTTTTTTATTCGAATAACGGCTTTAGTTGGAAACCACCTGAGTTTTCACTTTGGCGGGTGAGGAGTCACGCTGCTAAAAATATGATACTGACCATCTTCCCGGAGGAAGTCCGCAATGAAGACGTGACCAGAAGTCTGTAGAATGTCCAGAAACTTGTTGAAGGAGTGCATTCCCTTGAGGGGAAGAACGTCGATGAACTTTTTCACTTTGTCTTCACGGCTGGTACAGGCCTGGAGAAGAGGGGGGGGGGGGGGGGAATGAAATGTGAGGCATCGTGGTGGAATCAGGCGCGCGTCAATTTTTTTTACAAGTGGAGTTATTGGTACATGTATCATCTTAAAGCTTGTTAAGTTGTCTTGTTCTCGGTGAAAAAAATGCCTCCTATCTGGAATAGAAGTCGAGATGTGTGCGATTGAAGAAGGCCAGGTCGCCTGGTTTCAAATGTCGAAAAGCGAGAAAATGACCGTTAAAGTTGGTTATTTCCATAGCTTGATAGTTCGTGGAAACTGAAAACTTACATCATTTTTCGTGTTTTTAATCAACGTTTTTCAGTAAAAATCCACCCAAAAATGTGTTCTTAATAGGACCACAGAGGTGTTAATCTGAAAAACCAAAATTCAATAAAAATTGTCAAACTGGCAGGGCAATGCCAGTTTCTTCAATTTCATTATTTTGACGAGCGCCTGATTTTACCACACTACACTGCCTCACAAATGGTATAGATTTAACGCTCCCGTCAACACTATTGGGTTATTTAAGAGGCAAACACTAAACATCATAATATTTTAAAGTCAATTTTCCAAAGGACTGAGCCACATTGGAAATTCTTGTAA